ATTGAATTCAAAATTTTATTATTTTTTTAAAAAATTATTTTTAATTGTCTATAATTTATTTTTAAAAAAAATTTAATAAAATTAAACTAAAATAAATAAAATTAATTATTTCTATAATTTATTTTGTTATAAATAAAATAATAAAGAAAATTATCCCGATCTGATTTTCGGACTCAGATATTACATAAAATATGCTAGATTTTCATGTATTTATATATTTTTGGTGTGATTTATATACTATATTGTCATGTATTTATATATATTAGGTGTGATTTTTAGTCTCAAATTAAAGAAGATATAATTATTGTCTTTCCCATTAGATTACGCATTACTAATAATTTTAATTTAAAAAATTATTAATTTAATGGTATTATACTTGGTTTATAATTTTTAAAAATTTTATTTATTTTTTACATTGTTAAAAAATAAAAAAGAAATTACTTTTAAATAAAATATAAAAAATTGTAATATTATTTTAAATTTTTAATGAATAAAATAATGTAATTTAAGTAAAGTGTTTAATGTATTTTGAATTAATTAAATTAAACACTAATAGCCCGTTTAACACCATGACTTGCGCCCAATTCGTGTTGAATCAAGTGTTGACTTTTGGTCAACGGACATGAAGGTACAAGTTCAAAACTTCCAAGTCCAAGAAATTCACAAAGGAAAAAGAAGAAGAAACAGATTAGTATGACACTAGTCTCTCTTCTCGACTTACCTTTGTTCTTCGTTATCTTCATCGTTGCCTTCGTTCGCTCAGACCTGCTTCCCCAGGGTGTTCATCCTATAGGTTACTTTTCTCTCATTCTCCGTTTACATATAATCCAATTACTTGTATTTTATTTTGTTAATTGGATCAATTTGCTGTTATACTATCGAATTTTGATTGTTTTTTTGCAAAATTTTGGCCAGATGAGGAGTACTTTGTGTCAGAAGTGATAAAATGCAGGGACGGATCGAAATCGTTCACCAGGGACCGTCTCAACGACAACTATTGCGATTGCGTTGACGGGACCGATGAGCCTGGTTTCTTTCTCGTATTCTTTAATTGACTTACTTTGACTTTTATTTGTCTCATCTGATTTCGTCGCGCTCTTAATTTCATTGCCTTTTCTCTTCGTCTCGTTGTATTTGTCTCCGTTTTCTTGTGTTGAAATTTGAGGAACATTCCAGGAACTGCAGCTTGTCCAGGAGGCAAATTTTATTGCAGGAATGCGGGGAGTGTACCTAATTTCATTTTTTCTTCTCGCGTTAATGATGATTTTTGTGGTCTGTGTTCTTCTCTTGTATTCTAGTTACATACTGTAATTTTTCGTATTTTAATCCATTACTTGCCGAAGAATATTGATTTCTTCGAAGATTTTAGGTTAGGTTACTAACAAAATGTCCTAAACTAAATTGCATTTCATAGAGTTTAGTTTTTGTTTGAGTTACTTGTTTTTTTATTATTGAAACTTCAAAATTTTGGTTGGCAATTCAACACTTCTGTAGATTGCTGTGATGGAAGTGATGAGTATGAAAACAGGATCCGTTGTCCCAATACATGTATCATGGGTGGGACTGTTGAACACAAGTCTGAAAGTATTGGAATCTCGGTTCATAAGGACTTGGAAATTGATAATGTTGATGTAAAAGAAACCAAGAATGGTGTCAATTTAAAGGAATTGGTTCAGACGCTTGAAGGTGTAGTTATATCTTTTATGGTGTTTTGGTTTTGATGCACTTAAGAGGGCTAATGCATGTTAGTTCATGAGATTAATGGAAGTTGTGTCTTGATGCTTTCAGGGTTGACATTTGTGATATTCCTGCAGATGTCTGCTGTTGGGTTTTTGATGGTCCTGTGGGTATCGGAAAAGCATGATAGATCTAGGAAACGCTGATTTTGATGAAGGAAAAAGAATCAACTTTTAGCTCACTGTTTGATTTTGGGTAATAGTCCTCAAAGTACTTATCTTGTTTTGCTTTTTCGGATAGAATTTTGTGTGCGCCCTTATGTATGTTGTTTCGTGGCGTTTCAGGCTATATGATATGCATGTGTTCTTCTCTTGTTTCTGATACATTGCGTTCCTCTGTTTCCCTTGTCTCAACCCAAAAAGGGGCCAGACATTATCTGGATGTTGATTCCATTAGGTTTATAAAGCATCAATCTGAGAAACATGAGGAAAATTCATTCTAATGCACTGAAGAGGTTCAAGAGGATGAAGAATTCTCCCATGCAAAAATAGAAGCTTTTGTATGTTGTTGTAGTGAAGAAATTGTTGAATTTCTTTGCTTTGCTACTACTAGTCTGGTATGAACGAAGAAGAGCTGCTTGATTATATTCCCTTAATTATATGCGGAGTGAAATGTCAGTTGCAGTTGTGTCAACCAAGCTTCCAAAATTCTTATCCTTTCTCCTCCCATTGAATCGTGTCCGCTCAATTTCCTCACCTGCATTTCATACTGTTGAAGAAACCATCAGAGCTGCAGTTGAATCCAAGACTTACGAACAGATACCTGATCTTCTAATTTCACTAAAACAAATTTCCCAAAGGAATAATCCCTACTTGCTTCTGTCTAAGTTTTCTCAAATTCGGAGAACCCATAGCTTTGATGATATGTTACAAGCTTTTCTCCCACTCAGACCAGGTTCTCGTCCCCTAATTGCCTATTCCTACCTTCTTTCTCACACACTTCAAGCTCCCAATCCTCTTCCTCTTTCTCTTGCTGTCCTCCAATGTATTCTTCGTTCTGGGTCTAGCGCTGCTCTCCAGACCCACCTTCTTTTATCTTCTGCATGGCTTCACCGACGCCGCCAATCTCACTCTGTCTCCAACATCCTACTGGAGATGAAATCCATTCGTTATTTTCCTGATTCTGCCACCTGCTATTATATATGCGCACCAAGATTTCTCTCTCAGTTTTATTTCTGTGGACGTGTTCAGGCCGCACCACGAATTTATTTATCTGTAAGTTAATTTTAATTGTGCTATTATTTTTCTTTATACATCGTGATTTTGTAACGAAAATAAAAAATTTTTAAAATCTAATTGGGATTTGCATATCCATTCATGTCGATATGCTTACATTGAATTATTTTTGTATTTTTTATTTTTTTATGTAAATTGTTATGGATTTAAAGTAAAGAATGTATATTTTTCTTGTTTAATTTCCACTAGAATTATACTAAATATTGCTATATACAGTTATATTAGGGTATAATAACCTCCCCGTCTTGACAAATTTGCATTCAAAAAGGACTCCTATACATAATATGTATATCAATACGTATAAATTTGTTTTAATTTCTGATTTTTTTATTATCCAGATATTTAATAAATTATGATTTGTATTCTCAGCAGTTTAGATTTCTTTCCTATTGAAAAAACCTTCATATATTTAGTAATATTTTACTTATATACATACATGTCTCTTCTTCTTCTTCTTCATCTTCATATGAGCAACCTAAATCCTAATTAACCCTACCCATAAAGCTTTTTGGTATTAGGGTAACAATCTTTTCATGTCCCAAGAAATTTTCTTTTTTATTTGATTTTCTTATCTTCCCATTCGATTTTCTTGTTCATATTGTTTATAAGACACATCCTTTTCGTTCTTATCCAAACAAATTTTCAAAAAGTTTGTATGTATATATATATATATATATGTGATCATATATTACTGTTGAATTTCTTCCCTGCATGCATATATATTTATATTTCCTTTTTACTTATTAGTATATTCTTTCTTTTTCTCCTCTCTCTCTCTCGTGTATTGTTTAACATATATGTTAAAAATAATATATAAGTTTGTATTATTTTCATGATTCTTTTGACCGATTTAGGATGCAAGGGGATAACGAAAACAAATCAAGCAATACCATCGGGAGTACACATCCAGCATGTGCCTCGTGCAAACATCAAAGAAAAAAGTGCAACAATGACTGTATACTGGCACCATACTTCCCTGCAGATAAAAATAGGGAGTTTCAAGCGGTGCATAAAGTGTTTGGAGTGAGTAATGTTCAGAAACTAATACGAAATTTGAAAGGCGAGGATCAGAAAAAGGCTGTGGAATCTTTGGTTTGGGAAGCTTCTTGCAGACAAAAGGATCCAGTACAAGGACCTTACGGAGAATACAAGAGAGTCTGTGACGAACTTACATTATACAAGAATCAAATACAAATGATGCAGTTGCCGGGACAAGGAGCTACCATGTTTAAGCTCGGGATGCCAATGATGGGTTGGAATGGGAATCATGGAATGATCAATAATAATAATAACAACAACATGCTCAATTTTAACCAAGAAAACGATAAGTTGATATTTGACTCCAACACCTACTGCTACCCTTCTACTAATGTAGAGAGACTAAAGAATGATCATGTGGGTGTTGGTGTTACTCTTACTCCTCAAATTCACCAACACACAACAAATGCAGTATCCCATTAATCAGTTCTACCTTTCTGGTAAGTTTGAACTAATCCCTATATATGCATTTAAATTATACATACTACATATATATAATGAAAATTTGTAATTACCATCTATATTATATTTGACCCTATTATTTTAATTAAGTAATTATTCTTTTTTGGGTGATGAGTAGAGATAGAGATTGTGCGTTCCGTTCATTATTTTTAAATTATTGTGTTATGATTAGTATATGTGTATTAATTAATAAAATAATATAGATTTTCACTTTTTAAATCGAGATTTAATTATTGAAAATACATAATCTATACAATTCATAAACGTATTCTTGTGAATGTATAAAATAAAATAAATCATGGTTTTTATTTGGATTTCACTTGCTTAATTATTGTAGGTCAATTTGGTCCTAACTAATGGCAAGATGATGGAAGGTGAATGTATGGAGAAAGAGAACATATTTTGGATAAGGGAAAGCGTAGGAGATGATACAAGAAACTAATATCTTTGTGTACTTTTTTTTGGGTTTCATATCTTCTCTTTGTTTTCCCTAAGTAATATGTTTAATTGGATAATGCTATTTTCTCATAAAAATATGCTAGATTTTCATGTATTTATATATGTTTCGTGTGATTTATATATTAGATTCTCGTGTATTTATATATGTTTGGTGTGATTTTTAGTTTTAAATTAAAAAATATATAATTATTGTCTTTCCCCTAAGGGTTTAATTTCACATTACTAATAATTTTAATTTTTTTAAAAAATTATTAATTTAATGGTATTATACTTGGTTTATAATTTTAAAAAAAATTAATTATTTTTTATATTTTAAAAAAAATAAAAAAGAAATTACTTTTAGATAAAGTATAAAAATTATAATATTATTTTAAAATTTCAAGGAATAAAGTAATGTAATTTAAGTAGAGTGTTTAATGTATTTCGAATTAATTAAATTAAACACTACCGGACCATAACTTGGGCCCAATTCGTGTTGAATCAAGTGTTGACTTTTGGTCAACGGACATGAAAGCACAAGTTCAGAACTTCCGAGTCCATGAAATTCACAAAGGAAAAAGGAGGAGCAACAGATTACTATGACAGTAACCTCTCATCTCTACTCACCTTTCTTCTTCGTGATCTTCATCGTTGCCTTCGTCCGCTCTGACCTGCTTCCCCGGGGTGTTCATCCTATAGGTTACCTTTCTCTCATTCTCATTTTACATATAATCCAATTACTTGTATTTTATTTTAGTAATTGGATCAATTTGCTGTTATACTATCGAATTTTGATTGTTTTTTTTTTTTGGGCAAAAATTTGGCCAGATGAGAAATACTTTGCGTCGGAGGTGATAAAATGCAGGGACGGATCGAAATCGTTCACCAGGGACCGTCTCAACGACAACTATTGCGATTGCGTTGACGGGACCGATGAGCCTGGTTTCTTTCTCGTATTCTTTAATTGGCTTACTTTGACTTTTGTTTGTGCTCATCTGATTTTGGTGCCGCTCTTAATCTCATTGCCTTTTCTCTTCGAGTCGTTGTATTTGTCTCCGTTTTCTTGTGTTGAAATTTGAGGAACATTGCAGGAACTGCAGCTTGTCCAGGAGGCAAGTTTTATTGCAGGAATGCGGGGAGTGTACCTAATTTCATTTTTTCTTCTCGCGTTAATGATGATTTTTGTGGTCTGTGTTCTTCTCTTGTATTCTAGTTACATACTGTAATTTTTCCTATTTCAATCCATTTACTTGCTTAAGAATATTGATTACTTCGAAGATTTTAGGTTGGATTACTAACAAAATGTCCTAAACTAAATTGCATTTGCATAGAGTTTAGTTTTTGTTTGAGTTACTTGGTTTTTTTATTATTGAAACTTGAAATTTTGGTTGGCAATTCCAACACTTCTGTAGATTGCTGTGATGGAAGTGATGAGTATGAAAGCAGAATCCGTTGTCCCAATACATGTATCATGGGTGGGACTGTTGAGTACAAGTCTGAAAGTATTGGAATCTCGGTTCATAAGGACTTGGAAATTGATACTGTTGATGTAAAAGAAACCAAGAATGGTGTCAATTTAAAGGAATTGGTTCAGACGCTTGAAGGTGTAGTTATATCTTTTATGGTGTTTTGGTTTTGATGCACTTAAGAGGGTTAATGCATGTTAGTTCATGAGATTAAAGGAAGTTGTGTCTTGATGCTTTCAGGGTTGAAGTTTGTGATATTCCTGCAGATGTCTGCTGTTGGGTTTTTGATGGTCTTGTGGGTATCTGAAAAGCGTGATAGATCTAGGAAACGCCGTCTTCGATGAAGGAAAAAGAATCAACTTTTAGCTCACTGTTTGATTTTGGGTTAATAGTCCTCAAACTAATTATCTTGTTTTGCTTTTTCCCGTAGGAATTTTCTGTGTGCCCTTATATATGTTGTTTCATGGCATTTCAGGCTATGATATAGCGGTAAGGTCCTATTTTGCTTGTTTCCGGTGCATATCTGCTCTGATACGATGGATTCCTCTGTTTCCCTTCTCTCAACCCAAGAAGGGGCTAGACTTGATCTGGGTGTTGATTCCATTAGGTTTATAAAACGTCAATCCGAGAAACATCAAGAAAATTCATTCTAATGCACCGAAGAGGTTCAAGAGGATGAAGAATTCTCTCATACAAATATAGAAGCTTTTGTATGTTGTTGTAATGATTGTATCTAGTTAATCTAACTATCTACCGTTTCCTTGTGTCTTTGTGATATCTGCCAGCAGATAATTTGAAGAAATTGTTGAGCTTTTTTGCTTTGCTAGTACCAGTCTGATATGAAAGTAAGCCAATTTACTTCCTTGATATGTTGATGCCAACTTACTTTCCTAGCTGTTTTGTAGGATGGTAATCATTCTTCTTTTTCTTCCATGTAGTTCCCTCAACTACATTTTCTAAACGAACCGTAGTCAATCCAAATTGATCTTGTAAGAGATCTGCTACAAAACAAATACCTTTATTTTTCAAATAATTTATATCGTCTGAGTGTATCCATTCCAGTTAAATGTATTGTTCAAGAATTCTTTTTTGATAAATTAAAACAGGGTTGGAGTCTTGTAATAGACGTGGAAGAAAAGAAAAGTGGGGTAGTTGAATCGGATTGTACCAGTTCATATATAGTCTGGTTTTTGGTCCAGAATGTTAAGGACTGAGGAAACGAGTTTTGATTTGATTCCGTCTTCACCAGTTAAATGGTTTCTTTAGATATAAATAAATTTGATGTATAATAAGTATATATATTTATATATTATGTATATATATATGTGTTATATACATATATATTTTAAAAAATTAAAATATTTTTTTTATAGTTTATTTCACTTTGGTCGTAATCTAACTGAATCAGAAATTTCCGTTTTGGTTAGGATCAAAGTGAATACCGGTCCACCTTTTAGTCGGAAAATTTTTTATTTGACCCGATCTGAACCGGTTGAGGCTGGTTCAGTCTTGAGTTTTGTTCACCAGTTGCCCTGCCGAGTCTCTCGTTTACGTTGATGTAAAGTAGCAGAACAAAGAGGAGCTCCTCGATTGTATTCCCCTAATTATATGCGGAGTGAAATGTCAGTTGCACCTGGGTCAACCAAGCTTCCAAAGTTCTCTTCTTTTCTCCTCCCCTTGAATCGTGTCTGCTCAATTTCGTCACCTGCATTTCATGCTGTTGAAGAAACCATCAGAGCTGCAGTTGAATCCAAAAATTACGAACAGATACCTGATCTTCTCATTTTATCAAAACAATCTTCCCAAAGGAATAATCCCTTCTTGTTCCTGTCTAATTTTTCTCAAATTCGCAGAACCCAGATCATTGATGATATGTTACAAGCTTTTCTCCCACTCAGACCCCGTTCTCGTCCCCTAATTGCCTATTCCTACCTTCTTTCTCACACTCTTCAAGCTCCCAGCCCTCTTCCTCTTTCTCTTGCTATCCTCCAATGTATTCTTCGTTCTGGGTCTCGCCCTGCTCTCCAGACCCACCTTTTTTTATCTTCTGCATGGCTTCACCGACGCCGCCAATCTCACTCTGTCTCCAATATCCTATTGGAGATGAAATCCATTCGTTATTTTCCTGATTCTACCACCTGCAATTATATTATATCATCTTTATGTGGAGTTGATCAGTTGCCGGAGGCTGTTAAAGTTTTGAAGGGCATGGCCGCTGCAGGCTGTATTCCTGATGTAGAGAGTTATGGAACTGTAATTGCTGCCATGTGCTCGGGAAGAAAGACTGCTGATGCGGTAGATATGGTCAAGCAAATGGTGGTTAAAGTGGGATTAGTTCCGTCTCAGGGCACGGTGGTGAAAATGGTAGCAGCGTTGAGGGCGAACAGAGAGATTAGGCAAGCAGTTGAGGTGATTGATTTATTGGAGAGGGAAGGTTACTCTGTTGAGTTTGAGAGCTATGAGTTAACAATTGAAGGATGCTTGGAGTGCCGTGAGTTTATTCTTGCAGGAAAGATGGCGATTGAGATGACAGATAGAGGGTTTATACCGTATATAAAGGTCAGGCAAAAGGTAGTTGAGGGTCTGGCAAGTATTGGTGAATGGAAGCTTGCTTGTGCAGTGAGGCAAAGGTTTGCAGAACTGAGGTCTTAGTCATAGCTGCTTCCATGTCTTCTTAGTGGGACATGAAGAATTTCAATGGCGGATAAAACATGTAAACAAAACCCATATGGCGTTCTCTTCTCAGGAGCTAAATGATCCCTAGTCCGGGTTTATAATGTCACCTAAAGGTAACTGAGTTGATCATGTTTTCCCTCTGCTTTTACATCTGAGTTTTTTTTTTCCTAACAATGTTTTTTCTGTGGTTAGTACTGTAGATTGGCAAATAAAAAAAGGGTCATCCTTTTTCTTTTTTCTTTTCTTAAAGTTGAAGCTGAAATTTGAAGGATGGGACTGTAATAGTTTGCTTCTGCCAAGATTTGCTGTCCTGATTTTATTCTTGCAGACCAATCGGCAGTTGACTAACATTTGGGTCCTGAGTAGTGTCACTGATATTTCTCTTAAGTGCATCATTCACATCTTCACTTGTCTCCCTTACATTATTCATGATTTATGCTTTTTCTTGCAGTCTCTTTCACCTGATAAAAATTATAATTTTGTTATACTAGAAAATTTCCCTAGGAAAGTTGGAGGGGAAAATAATTATGAGGCTGAGGAGGCATCAAGAATAAGTGATCATTCAATTAGATTTTTTTTTATTGACTAGGCTTTTATTCCATAATGATACTCATTCCCTGCAATTCTAACGTTTCAATCTTATCAATTTAAACTCCATGTTATAATTTAGAAATGAGGTTAATATTTAGATGGAAATCTAATGAGCAGCAGCGAATAGTTTTCCAGAAAATTTGCTTAGTCCTTAGTAGGGTAGCTAGCATCCATGGCAATGCCGCAGATACCTTTCTTTCTGATAAAATCTCGTTGCATCCTGATATAGCCAGATTCACCCCAACCAGTGCCCCACGAGTTCTTCACTGTCCAGTACTTCTTTCCATTATCATCACCATACCCAACTACTGTCACTCCATGGTTGAGATGTGTTCCACAGTAGCCACTGAAGACACCATGAGAATAGAGCTGAAAGAGATATCCACCAGCATCTACTGCAACAGATACTGGTTGATTGGCAACTGCAGCTTGCAAGCTTTTCTCGTCATTTGCAGGTACCTGCTCAAATCCAGTTATATTTGCTTCGTGGTCTTTGGCTTTCTCTTTGTCACAGGTACCATCCTTTTGCATGTAAGGGTAATTGGCTTCAGTGGTAATTCCACCATTCTTTATGATGAATTCAAATGCTTTCTCCATGAATCCACCTCTGCAGCCCTCGTTGCCTGTATCTGTGTCACAGTCCACGAGCTGTTGTTCTGATAGAGATACCAGTTCTCCTGTTTTGATCTTGTTGATGCCTTCAACAGCTGCCACTGCGGAGAATGCCCAACAACTTCCTGTATTTATTAAAAGTTAGATTTTGTCAAACTTCAGTTATCATGAAATTCTTGACTTCAAGATCCATGAATTGAGTTAGATTACAAAGAGAATCTGTGTCCAGCAATTGATGTAGCCATTGCTGACAAACACACACACACACACACATACAGATGTAGTCTCAATATCCATCAAATTAAGTTAGATTTGTCTCAACATGCAAATTCATAGATCTTGTATGAACTAGGAGGAAAAAAGTCCCAATTTGTTGAGATTGCTATACCACATTGGCCTTGATCTTTAACAGGAGTGACAGTCTCTTCCTTTCTCCAATCCACAGAGGTTGGCAGCTCTTGTAGTTGGTGATCAGTGGCATTATGATGTCTCTCTTTTAGAAGGTTCTGAGGGCTGAAACCCATGTACATAGATTTAAACTCGTCATTCGTCATGTCTGCAAACTTGTTATCAGTGAGCTTGAAGGATAAGTTTTGAGAATTGATGTAATCGACAAGGAGGACATTGGATTGGTAAATCCCAAAACGCATTAGCCATTCGTCTCTACTACTGTATTTTCGGCCATTGGATTCTAGCCACCTCTCATATCTCTCCCTCATTGAATATAGGTTGTCGAAATGTTCAGTGTTGCTCTTAAACCATGCTTGTGAAGGTACCAGGAGGACCACCCAAATAAATACAAGAGCAGCAAAGGTCTGCATACTAATTTTCAACTCTGTTGTCATTTGATCAACTGGGATGATGACTATGGCTATTAGTTGAAGCTTATATGTTTGAAATATCTATAAATGAAGACTTGAATATTGCAGTTCTTATATTTTGGGTGTTGGTTATTTATTTCCTTCAAGCAATTCCAAGCGCAGACATGCATTTATCATTCATGATTTCACATGTTTGGCATTCCTGATTTCAACTGGGGCAAGTATCTTTTGGTATTACTTGAGCATTTTTCTAAGCTTTACTTCAAATAAATGGGTGGAGTGGGGGTTGGAACTTTCACTTGAAAACTCCTTGAAAGAATTTTCTTTGCATATTATTGGCATTAGGGCTTGAGCAACCGCCCGGATTGGGCCAAAGACCGATTAAGAATGAGGATTCGGACTGAATGTCGAGCCATTTTGATTAGAGAATTTGTTCGTTCTATTTCTTTCGGGCTTTCAAGTAATCTCATGAGTTCATCTACTCTAATGAGTCACTAGTCTCTTCAATTGCAATTACTTATGCTCAAATTTTACTAGCAGACTCATACATACAATCTCAACATGTTTTTTTTTTTCTTCTTTTGTCTTCTAGAGTATCTCCCCAACTCCTAATTTAATTAATCACTGCAATAACTCTCAAAACAAATTTTGAAAATTGGTCTAGTATTACTTGTTAGTAATTATCTTGGATTAAAAATTTATAAATGTGGAACCTAATGCTGCAATAATTTGTTTTAATGCAAATAGTTGTTGCTATATGTTCTAATAACAAATCATTAGTTTAACTGAATAATTAAATAAAATAAACAGATATTTTTGTTCGTCTCAGGTCGATGGATCTTTTCAATTGGAAGATCTTCTATATGAATAATGCATATTCTAATTCACCAAATATAATTATAACTGTTTTCTTCTGAAGCAAAGATATTCATTAAGTAGTTCGCACTATTCAATTATTCGTTATTAAAAAGTATTAGATTCTCTTTCGGATAGGTTTTAAAAGCAGAAGGAAGGTTGGAATGCCACCATGCATCTATTATTGAATTCACGCGATCTGATAGTACCAATTAAGTGAACTCACTTGTTATAAACTGATTCTTTCATCTAAAAATATAATATATTTGTTTAGGTGTAATTTAGTTTAAGTATTATAAATTTACTAATATATTAATACATTACATTTTCAATTTTATTGAATCAAATGTTATAAGTGGTCTACTTTTAGTA